GGGGGGGGGCGGGGAGAGAAGCCTTTTCCACCCGCCCCATGCTCTCTGTGCTCTAGTGGGCCACGGAACACTTTCTCCTGACAACAGCGGCCTGTGCACCGACTTCGCGGGGCCCCTGGCCCACGCTGTGTCCTGCGTGCCTGGCGTTCCTGCTCCCGAACCCGCAACCCCTCTCCCTTTAAACCTGAGCAACACGCTCCCTAAACCACCACACCATTTCATTTGCAAAAGGAGCGTTTTTGCATGGATGAGAAATCCATTAACCTATTTATTTATTTATTTATTTATTTATTTATTTATTTATTTATTTATTTATTTTCCGAGACAGGATTTCTTTGTGTAGCCCTGGCTGTCCTGGAACTCACTCTAGACCAGGCTGGCCTCGAACTCAGAAATCCGCCTGCCTCTGCCTCCCAAGTGCTGGGATTAAAGGCGTGTGCCACCACTGCCCAGCAACCAATTTATTTTTTAAAAACATTTTATTTTTGTTTGAAGCTGGATCACATTCCTTTAATCCCAGTACTATCAAGCCAGAGGTCAGCAGACTTCTCTGAGTTTGAGGCCAGGTTGGTCTACCTAGTGAACTCCTGGCCAGTCAGAGATACACAGTGAGACCTTGTCTCAAAAATTTAAAATGGTGTTAGTTTGAGAGACAGCCCCACTATATAGATCCTGTTGCCTGTGAACTCATAGACCTACTTGCCTCTGCCTCCCAGGTGCTGAGATTAAAGACATGCGCTAACATGTCCAGCCTACACTTAATTTATAAACACTGAATCTACTTGTTTGATACATTCTTTGAGCATTGTAACCTCAAAAGCCACAAAACCCACATATATAGCTACTATTAAGACGCTCGAGTCCCATCCCCTGTGCTTTCTCTGGATGTCGAGGCTGTCTCATGCATGTTTAGCCCTCTGACTGCAGTCGCTATTTAATGAACCCAGCTCAGCTGCATATGGACTCACCCTGAAATTCTTTTCTGTCTAGCAGTCAAGAAGCTGGCTCCACCTGAGTGGAGTTCCAGAGGCAGCAAACTCAAGCTCCAGGGGCCAGGGTCAGGCTGCTAGACTGGCCACATGGGAGGACCCAGTGAGCATGTGGGTGGCAGGGATGGGGGGCGGGGTAGAGAGGTACATCTCCAGCTGCGTTCACTCAGCTGTAGTACAGGTGACAATTCCTTCAGTGTGTGGGGGGTGGGGGGGGTGAGTTGCAGCTTCTAAAGATAATGTACCTGTGAACTGAACATGACCTTATTTAGGTCCATGCAGATGTAGTATAGTTCAGATAGGCTTACTGGATTATCTGACCTCAAATTCATTCCAGTTAACTTCACTGAGTTAGTATCTTTGTCAATCTGGAGACCTTGGGTGGTAAGAAAAGACTACACTGAGGAGACAGAGTAGGTTCAAAACCTCCGAGTCTGCACTTGATATGGGCCCAGGAAGCAGGTAAACCTGTCCAGTGCAGAGGTGCCTTTCTAACCCCAGGCACCCACAGCATAGGGCCTACTTAGAGAGGATACCTGGTCTGGGTGACCTGTGAAGCCCTTTCATTCTTGAATTTTAGAACACATACAAAACAAAGGTTAGACATCCGGGGGCCCCAACATGATACTCCATGTCACAGCAGAATTCATCTTAGGCGAGTGAAAGCAGTTTAAATGGGGGACCTGAGTCTGGTCAAAATAGATGACATGGGAGAAGCATGACCCCAGGACCCCTTAAGCCTTGGAAGGCCCTTGCTAAGAACATGGCTTACAAGAGTTTTAAGTCACAGTCCTGAGGGCAATGGGGGCAACACTGGATCTTCTGTGAGTCACATCTCTAGGCAAAGCAGGCCAGGACTGATTGGACCCAGATCCTGCTTTAACCTTCCTCTAGGGGGCAGCACTAGCCACCTCAGTTACTGCACAGCATAAAGAGGCTGTTCTTCCTAAGGGAAATGTCACCCTGAGGCCAGGACACAAGGCCTGCCTTTCTCTCCCCACCACCTCCATCCCCTCTCCCACTCCCCCACAGAAGTTCACACAAGTCAGGCACAAAAAGCCAACTTTTTATTTACACTGTGGTCTGTACATTACAGTTCCTTGGAAGGTGCCCACCACTGAAAGCCTGTTTCTGGAGAGAACAGAGTGGAAACAAACAGTTCAGGGCCTGGGCTGCAACCCACTCTCCTTTCCCTGGCGCCTAAAGTGGAAGCCTCGATCCCAACCCTAAAGCTAAGGCCATTTGCAATTACTGGCTTCTGGGGCAAAGCCCCAGATGTAATCCCTGGAAAATCAGAACCTATCTGCCTAGAGCTTCTTCCACCTGGGCCCCAGAAGGCCCAGCCCCACAACATGAAAAGCTGAAGCTGGGAGCCAACAGGCCGTGAGTCCTCACCACACTCTGTCCTGTGCAGGTCCTGACATTAGTCTGGTGATTAATGGCACTCTGGTCTGAGCACCAGCAGACAAGGAAGGGATGGACAGGTGATGACAGCAGGCAGGGACAGTGGCAAATGACTTCCTTCAGCACACATCAGGGGAGACACGAGAGGCAATGGCCCTAAACCCAGATGTACTGCCAAGCATTGGAAACCACGTGGCTGGGCTTCCTCCAGAAGTGCCATGCACACAGCTTTGCAGACCTACGACCTCCCTGCTGGGGCCAGCGCCTCATGTTAAAGGAGATCTGTCTTCTGTAAATATCTGAACCCATGAGGAAGAGGTTTGTGGGAGGGGCTAGTCTGCACAAAGCTACCCTTGTCTGGGATGCAGGGCTTCTAAAGTAGCTGCAGGTTCATGGGGATTAAGTGGTCCCTATGCTTAAGATTGTAACAAAATCCTGTACAAAAGTTACCAAGTCAACAGAGTGGGGGGAGGGGAGTCCTTTGGGCAATCAGGGCCTGGTGGGGTAAAGTGTTTGCCAGCTGGCCTCAGTAGAGGCATATGGCTGTACACGTGAGTACACACAGGACGGGAGGAGATAGAGTAAGGGGATGTACAAAAGGGGGCAGTGGGTAACAGAGAATCCTGTGTGGTGGTGACAAGGGAAAAAAGGCACAAGGACCCCAAACCATGCAGACAAGAAACAGTGCAGAACAGTAAAGCAGACAGTCCCAACACGAGACAGGGCCATCAGAGCTTAGGCCTGTAGGAGAGGTGGCCTGGGGTGCTTCCCTCTGATGGTACCTCAGGAGCACACATCTCTACAATACAGTCACGTTGGGAAGAGGAGGAGCCCACAAGGAAGGGACATCGAAGCTACGCAGCTCCTGGTGAATAGGGTGGCAAGGCCCGTCACCTTGCTATGCTTTCAGAAACAAAGCCTTTTCTAGAAGAGGCTATTCCTTAGCTGAGTAGCTAAAAGACAGCAGAGCCACAAAGCTGTCCCTCCCGGAAGGAGCTACCTCTACTTTTTCCTGATACATCATCGCAAGTGCTTTCTGCCTGGGTGGAAGTCAGCACAGGGAGGCCCCGTGAAGATCTGGCTGCTCTGACTTGAGGCCCCTTGGCAGCAAGTGCATGCTAGTGATACCAGCCTGAGGAGCCACCAAAGAGGGAAGTCCTTGGGCCTCAGTGAGGGGTGGGGTAGGAGAAAAGACTGGGGATAAGGGACAGCACTGAGGCCCTAAAGAGCTTCAACTGAACTTACACAGAGTCACTGGACATCTGGTGACCAGCCTGGTGACTACCCTATATCTTTCCCAGGTCCATCAGTCATGTGTACAGACAGAATTGCCGATGTCCCTCAGATGAGCGAAGTCCTGATTCCTTGGGCCTTGCTGTAGAATCTCCGGATCCCCTACACAGCCCGATATGTACCAACAGGCCCTGTAGCATCAGAACCCAGGACTAACTATCAGACCGTAACTTAGAGTCTCCAGGGTGTGGGAAGGGTACTGATTTGGCACTGACAGGGAAACAACTGGGACACCCTCAGGAAACAGACAAAACCCATGGAGGCAAGTGGCCACTGCATCTGAGGCCGCTTTCAAGGTTTAGCTCTTCCCTGCCTACCTGCCTCCACTTTCCAATGGGCTATGCCCAGTCAAATGCCGACACTTGTTTCCTGTCTCTCTAGGGTAAGACTTCCAGAGTAGTGGGAGCAACTGGACTCTCTCAGGGCAAGGACCACTTAGTGGCATAATGACACATCCTCTAGGCCACAGGCATGCTTCTCCAGCCCTGCTGGAACTCAGCAGACATTTCACAGGTTTTAGGAGCCTCCACCTGGAGCTGTGCATGACCAACACTTGGGAAGGCCATTGAAGATACAGGTGCTGGGCTACCCAGTGCCACCAGTTGTATGTGGAAGTCAGAGCTGGTCCTGTCATCAATTTCTCTCCATGCTGCCAGGGACTCCATCCCTGTGCTACACTCCCAAGCCCTCCAGCCTCAGACGTAAGACACCAGCACATAGCCAAACTGACAGACTCAGGCTCAAGGCCTGGCATTCTGCTTGGTCCTTGAACTTTGTGTTTTTAGTATATCAGAAATAAATTTTTCAAAAGGAACTTCCTCTGTAGAGTCTCAAAGAAAACTATTGGTCTTAAACAAACAAACAAAAAAATCTGGCTAATTCAAAGCTAAAAGGAAACAAACCAGGGGGACAGTAGCTCATTTTGTTTGGATTCCAGTGGAATACAAGGACATGGCCCCCAGCCTAACTGGACCTTTGCAAGTTACTGCTGACCCTTCCCTGAGGGAGTTGTCTAACTTGGGAAGAGAAACACCTCCTTCACAGGAGACCTAAGTTAGCGTCACCTGAGGCGTACTTAAAACATTCCAAGGCCTGGCCACACCTGTACCAACTGTTAAAACCTTCGAGGATCAGAATGTTAAAAAGCTTCCAAACCATCAAGTATGGCATGGAACATCTTGATTCTAAAACCACTTGTTTATCTGAAATCCAAATCTAACTGAAGGCCAAGTCTAACATCTAGACTCATGAACGTCAAAGGGGAGCTCACAACTGCAAAACGAGCCAGGGAGGCAGCAGAAACAGAGATTAGATTCTTCCCAAGCAAAGTTCTAGAACCTCCCACAGGTGATATGGCACTGGGATCCCTGGGCTTTCTAACCCAGTACATTTTAAAAATGCATTTTAAAAGTAAAATGGGTGTGGTGATTCTTGCCTATAATCCCAGCACTCTGGAGGCTGAGACAGGAGAATTGCCTTGAGCCTCACAGTAGCCAGAGCTACAACGAAGACCTCAAAAACAAAACAAAACAAAACAAAACAAAACAAAACAAAACAAACAAAAACCCAGAAACCTACTGTCACCACTATGAGAAACAGCAAACATGATCTTACAGAGGAGACACAAAGTTTTCTAAGTGTATTCTGGCTGAGGAAAGTAAAAAAGCTGGATTTCGCCTGAGGTGTGTTGTGTGGAAGTCAGACCACATTCAGAAACCATTCTTCCAGAGGCCTATACTATAGCAAGCATTCAGGTCCACAGGGGTCTCCAAACCTGAGCATTTCCTCCAAGAGTCCACTCTTCCAGCCCTACAACTTGGGCCTAAAGTCTTCCTTCCCCGCCTGTTTCCCTGACAGAGATTCCTTCCTCTTCTGTGATGTTGTGACTCTGCCTCTGTGGCCTTCTCTGGAAACCAGCACACAAGTGAAGCAGACAGACCATACAATTTCAAGTCTGAAACACTCACCTCTGAGAGTAGGCCCCTCTGACCAGGACTGACACTCAGCTGGCCTCTGCATTCTGCCAGCATGGTATCTGGACCAACCTCAAACCATGGTTTATTTCCCATTCTTTCTCACAAGACTCCCTACAGCTTTTCACTATCTTCCCAGACCCCAGGGAAGGAGACCCTGTATCCCAGGATCAGGCCTTCCTGTCTTCCTGGGGCAGCTCATCCAGACAAAGCAGGCACACCCACCACCCGTGCAGCATGAGATGCACTCCATGCACATGATTAAAAGCAATCTCAAAAGCCAAAGAAAGCACAGTGACTGGACTGAAACTGGCCGCAGCTCCGTCTCTGCCAAGCAGGGCACATACCCCAAGTCCCCTCTTTACCTTCAACTGTGCCTTTCTGCTCACCAGGCTCCCCACATGCCCAAACCTTCCTTTTAACACAAGATGTGCTCAAGAAAACAAACTGAAGGGGAAGACTTGAGACCGTACGCATTTATAGGAGCTGGGGTAAGGAAGCCAATCACAAGCCGTATAAAACTGAGATAAACTGGAACGCTCCCAGTACAGTACCTACTCCCAGATCACATTTTTAACACCCCCCAGGGGGGTGAATTCCCATCATATATTCACAGAACAGAAGACTAAGGCTCTCCCGATGTTCTCCACTGGACCTCCAGTCAGCAGTATCTGCTCTCTAACTGGGGCCCTTCCAGATCTCTAGGTGGGTCTGAAAGCTGGAGGCAAGGGTGTCGGTCTTGGAAACACTTCCCTAGGCCTGTCCTCCCCAAGGAACACGCGGAACCCAGACATGTCACATGTGACAATGCAGCCAGGAAAACACACCTCTCTCTCCCAGGCAATCACTCCTTTTGGCCCCCCAGTGTAACACACACCTGCCTTGGGCGCTGACCCTCCTTGCTCTTCCTTCCACCCAGCTGAACCAGCTGAAAGCTGCTTGTATTTCCCATCTTCAAAGCAAAACGAAGCCAAACCAGAAAGGGGAGCAGGAGAGCAAAACTGGGAAGGGCACAGAAAGCTACGCAGGACTCAGCCCAAAGGCACGGACAGTGCACACTAGCTGCTCTGGAAGCCCGGTCCACTGGACCTGTTTACCTGCACCCCAGATGGCTAGCCCGTAGGGGTCTCTCCAATACCCCTTCCTCCTCTGAGCTTAAAAAAAAAAAAAAACCCGGCTTAAAAGGTGGCCTGAAAGGCTGGCAAGGACACCAAATTCTGGAGAATGTAACAGTTTTGTCCCCACTCCAGTGGGGGAGGAGAGAGAACCTGTCTCCTGAGAGTATCTTCTAACCCTTATCCACAGAGGTAGAATCATTTCATCAGTATCCTAAATGCAAGCTTCCAGGCCTTGCTGTTAACTCCTGAGAGTGTTCCTCCCACATCCAGTCGCCCCTGCCCCTCACAAAGGGGCTACAAAGTGCACACACAGCTCACCATGGGTTGTCACCCACAGCCATGGCCCCAAGCTCACTCCTTGCCTGTGTGTGCACAGTCCTGCACATACATCAGCACACACACAGGGTGGTCAGAGGTACAATTACAGCGTGAGTGTGGGCGAAGCCTGCATCTTCATCTCAGGCAGGCCTGCCCCGAGGTCCCAGGTCCGACGGCCGCTCTGCAGCCAGCCCTGACTCAGTGTTTGATCTCCAGGATGGAGGGGTTGTGATCCAGTATAGCCAGGATAATCTTGTCCATGTACTGTCTCAGGCGGAAATTGATCTCCTCCTGCTCCTTCAGGGCCTCCATTAGCTGAATGGAATGAGAAAGGTGGGTCAGAAGCTAGGCCCAGGCCGGGCTTACACTGAGCCAGTGACCAATGACAGAGGCACCCAGATCAGCCTGAGCATTTTAAGCAGGGACCAGAGCCTAAGGCAATTTCATTGACCCTGGAAGAGGCTAAAGTATGAGGAAATTTTCACAAAGTTGGGAACACTAGTCAGATGCACTTATACTCAGGGCTGATGTGCACGATCCTGACTAGGGCTGCCAGCCCTTTCTCCACCCAGAACAGTACCCTTCTTGTTCCAGCCTTGCCTTACTCAGCTGCTCTCTCACAGTGACAATTAGGTGCAGCTAAACTGCTGCTCCGACCCTGTGGAGTTACCTGCTCTCCTTAAAGCGAGAGGAGTCAGGAACATGGGGGCTCAGTTTCACACTAAAACACAACTGAGTGTTCTGGTATCTGATGTAGAGAAGCTGGGCTGTACGAGCTAGGAGCTGGGCTCCCGTCCCACTGCCACTGGTGTGGCCTGTCATTTCTACAGGGAAGCACTGAGACTGTGAGCTAAGAGACCAAGTAAACACATGTGCACAAGTAGATGCTTCGGGAATTCTGGCCTCCATCTGGGTTAGGTCCAAGAAGGACCTCTCATTGGAGCTGCACTCTGACTTGGGCCCAGAGCCCCTGAGTTAGGAGCGCTAAGCCCCTCCCCCTGTGCTGCTGCCTGCTTAGCTCTGACATCACCAAGATAGGGGTAAGTGGAGGAGTATTAGGGTCAGGCCTTGGCCTGCCTCTCCGGTCCCAGCAGGTGGAAGCTGGGGCAGGACCCACAGAATGAAGACAAATCACCATGGAGACAAATTTGAGTGTCCAAGGGAACGAGAAGACAAGGCTACCTCATCTCGAGACGCTGTGTCGATTTCAGCAGCCAGAGACTGGGCTTTGGTCTGGGTGGCAAAGAGGTTCTTCGCCTCGTAGAGGCTGAGGCTCAGGATCTGCCCATTTAAATCATCATTCTGATCCCGCAGCTTGTGATTCTCCTGTGCCAACAGAACGAAGGCATCGTGAGCTCTAGGAAGCATCCAGAGCCTACTGGAACACACTTCCCCCATCGGTGTCCTCAGCTGGAAGGGGAGCTACAGCCCTGCCTGGGAGAACCAAGAGGGCAAAGGTCTTTCCTCTCTAGGGTCCTGTGGGGAGCTCTGGCCACCAGCAGCTCAGCATGCAGCCCTGGACCTGGCAGAAGGGAGGTGCTATTCTGGATTTTCTGTGCAGGAAGGAAGGCTGGTCTTCCTGGCTCTTCCTGCTGTTAGGTTCTGGAACCTTCTTAGTGGAAGTTGTTTCAAGTTGCCCTTGCCCCAGAAGGCAGCTGATGCTACAGCTCCACAGGTGCCCCCTCCAATTCTTGCCTCTAGCTCACCCCAAGAACCTGGGAGCCCCTGGGGTAGGTGATGGGCTAGCTGTACTGGAGGAGATGGGCCCTAGGACTTGTGCGTGGGTGGATGAGCTCAGGTATAGTCCATGCCCAGCCTCTAGTTCACAGGCCCAGCTGAGTTTGGACTTCACTCCCTTCTTGAGCCACTGACCCTCCTGGTCCCACGCTAACACAGGCTACAACAGCAGGAATGATGGGACACCATGAGAAGCAGAATCTCAAAGACTTAGGCCCTATCTGACAGAGGTTTAACCCAGCCCAGCATGCATCTGCAGCGTGAGGATGGTCCTCTTATTCCAACACCCAGAACAGGACAGAGGCCTAAGAGTGCAAGAACCACTGGGTGTAACCAGAGGCAAGCTGCTTGCCTGAGTGTGGGACAGGACGCTGGGCCTTGGCAATCAGGTAGCTGAGAAGAGACAGGAGAAGTGGCAGGAGGTAGACGGGCTCGTGGCTCCCTCCCTGTGACCTCTAAACAGAAGCCCCCATGGTTGACCCAACCGCCTCTACAAAGCCACCAGACATGGCTCTAGGGCCTACCTGTTTCAGACGCTTGACCTCATGTTCAAGTTCGACCTCACGGGCTCTGGCATTGAACTCGCCAAGGCCAGATGCGCTGCGGCCCCTACCTGGCCGCTCACAGTCCAGCTTGTACATCTGCAGGTGCTCGAGCTCTCTCCTCAGGTCCTCAATGAGCTGTGAGGGAGAGAAGCCGGTGTCAGCAGCAGTGACACTGAGAGAAGCCCTGGCTGGGCCCCTGGCCTGTGACTCACCTCCTGCGTAGCCTCCCGCTCCTTCTGAAACTCCAGGCGGTTCTGCCGCAGCTTGTCCATCATGCGCTTGTAAAGATCCATCTCGTCCTTCAGTCGTAGGCTGGTGTCCTCCAACCGGTCAGACATGCGCTGCCGCTCCTAGGACAAGGCAGACCCAGTCAGGGCAAGCATCCTGAGAGGGCCCTCGCACTCTGGAGGACCTTAGTGTGGCAAATGGACAGGCAGACAGCAACCTTGGGAATGCTTTCTCAGAACATCCTAGAAACACAGCAGGTAACTTCCCAGGCCTCTGATGTCCTTCAGTAGTGTCAGACAGAGCCTGAGAAGCAGCTGTCTGTCCAAACAGGAGCTAAGCCCACCCTCTTCAGGGAGAGATTTCCACAATATAAGGCATTTACAGTATATAATACAGACTAAATTTTCACTGTAGAAGACTTGAAATTTTGTAAATTCAGAAACAAAAGTTATTCACTTTTCTTCCTATTTAATTAATAAACTTGCTTTTGTTTATCTTTAAGACAAAACTTTCATGTACTCTAGGTTGGCCTCAGAGTTCACGATGTAGCAAAGGATGACACTTGTCTCCACCCGCTGAATGCTGGGATCACAGCTGTATGCTACCGAACCCTGGTACCTCTTCTCTGCAGGGAAATACTTCAGTGCTCCTGAGACTGGCATCCAGCCCTGACTGCCATCACTTCATGAACCCAGCGTCTGGCTGGGACCAGCTGCTCACCTCGTCCAGCTTCTCTGTCTGTGACTTGAGTCGAGCCACTGTGGTTCTCAGATCTGTGTTCTCTTCTTCCAACTGCTGCACCCTGGGAAAGAAAAATAACATGGCTCAGAGAATCTGGAGCAGAAACGGCCTTAGAGAGAAGGTGACTGGCAACCAGTCTCCATATCCAAGAGAAAGAATCTGCCTGAGAGAAAGACGGGGACAAAAGTAAGGTAATGTCTCACAGGCTGACTCAGGTCCAGCGTCCCTGATCCAAAAATCCAAAATGTTCCTAAAGCCAAGACTTTTTAGACACTGACGTGATACCACAAGCCAAAATCCCATGCTATCAAGAACCTGCTTCATGTGTGGAATCATTAGTATCTGCCTTTAATCCTGGCACTCGGGATATAGTGGCAGGAAGATCTCTGTTGAGCTGGAGAACAGCCTGGTTTACATAGTGAGTTCCAGGATGGCCAAAGTCACATGAGACAGTCTCAAAAACTGTGTGTGTGTGTGTGTATGTATAATTACTTTCAGTCTATAAGTTACTTTTTAACTGTGTGTGTTTGTGTACAGTATGTTGTGCATGTCTGGGAGTGGGGAAGGGGCAGTGTACATGCGTGTTTGACTTTATTTGAGATAGGATCTTTTATTGGTTTGCCAGATCCTCCAACTTCTGAGGGTTCTCCTATGTCTGCCACAGAACACTGGGGTTACAGAGACACTCTGCTGTGTTTGGTTTTATGTAGGTTCTAGAGACTCGAATTCTGTGTGGCAAGCACTTTACCCACTGAGCCATCCTCCAGGCCCCATAAGCTATTTTAGAAACAAAGGAGCCAGGCTTGATTGTGTACAGCTTTAACTCCAGCACTCAGAGGCAAAGGCAGAGGCAGAAGCAGGCAGATCTCTGAGTTGGAGCCCAGCTGGCCTACAGAATGAGCTCCAGGACATCCAGGGTTACACAAGGACACCCAATCTTGGAAAAAAAAAATGGAAGGAAGAAAGGAAGGAAGGAAGGAAGGAAGGAAGGAAGGAAGGAAGGAATTTCATGTTTAGATAGGATTTTATCTCCAAGACATATGTATACATAAGTATGTATTTCAAAATCTAAAAAATTCTGAAAGCTGGCCTTCACACACATATGAACACACATGTACATACACAAAATCCTTCATGAAACAATGAGGAAGGGGGCTTCTAGGAGGAGGAGAACAGTCCGATGCCTGGTGTGCCCAGGGCTCTCCTGTTAACATCTGTAGTCTGAAGGCTATCCCCATGCTTGCCTTCTATTCTCCATCCCCAGGCCTCATCTGGAACTCAGAGGCAATGATCGTCTACAGGAGCGTTTACAGACAGCTGCGCTGCAGTGACCCAATGGGGTGGTACTCAGATGTTTCATAGGCAGGTAAGATGGCTACTACAATGTACAAATGTACAAAGCAGATGTGATTACATTTGATTCTTGCAGCTATTGCCTCATTCTGGAGAGGCTTTTCTTGACCTTAATGAGGCCTTAGGGTACCCTAGGGAGGCCTCCAGACAAGGGCTAGAGAGGTGTCTGGACCTCCATGCTAAGTGGTGTGAAGCTGGCTAAGGAAGTGAGGAGGGAGTGTATGCCAATGACTGGAAGTACCAGGCATGCCTCCACATGAACAGCGCCCTGGAGCTGTGGAAGGGGAGCAGGTAAGACTACCCTCAGAACCTGACGCTCTGTGTTCCTGTTTCAGGCCCTGCTCCCGGTCTTCTCCCTTCTTCCCTTCTGGTCCCAGCCACCTCACTTGAGCCTGTAGTCATTTAAAACAGCCTGTAACATTTAATATGAGAAGCCCCTTAGGACTCCAGCCCCAGAGCCACAAGCAAATAAACGGCCCCTAGAGCAGTGGTTCTCAATCTGGGGGGTCACTTATCAGATAGCCTGAATATCAGACATTTATATTACAATTCATAACAGTAGTAAAATTATAGTTATGAAGTAGCAATCAGAATAATTTTATAGTTGGGGGTCACCACAACATGAGGAACTGTAGTAAAGAGTCCACAGCCTTTGGAAGGTTGAGGAGGTGTTGGGAAAGGTGGGCAGTCTCGGGCACATGAGAGCTGGGAGTCTCCTCACCAACCTGTACTGGGTTAGGAATCACCCAATCCCTTGGGCCTACCTGGCCCAGCCCTTGTCCAGCATCCTCTGCCCACGTGGGCTTAGCATCCTCTGCTTAAACACCCGGGCCAAGGAGTACCAGGACAGTGCCTGTTCTGCCAGAGGCCCCACCACACCCGGTCAATGACAAGAGCACAGCCTCATCGAAAGCACATGGTGCATGGTGTGGGGCGGGCAGAGAGGGAATTACACAGTAGGTACAACAAAACAATCTGTCCAGCCTCTGACTTGGGCTCTAACAAGGAAGATGTTGATGTATACAGGAAGCCACAGGCTCAGCTTACCCACGCTCAAAGTCAAGGGACGATGTGACAGCAGGGGGCGCTCTAGGCCTAGATATCAGACCCAGCCTTCTGATTACCTCGGCACCTTCCTCTGCCCAAGCACTGTGGCTACCATGACTTTCATTCTACCTACTCCCTGAAGAAATGGCAATTTTAAAGTATCTGAAGTAGAAGTGGTAGGACAATCGGCTCAGGTTTACTGGAAATCCTCGGGGGCAGCACTACCCCAGGGCCGATGGGCACAGCGGGGTGCAGAGGGGGCACTGTGGGCACGAGGCCTGGTGCCCACCTGGTGTTGAGCAGTTCCAGCTCTGTGCTCTTCTCCCGCTCCAGCTTGCAGTAGACCTCGCGGTGTCGTCGGGCCTCCTCCTCCAGTGCCTGCTCCGCTGTGGTCTCCTGATCCTTCACCATCTCCTCCAGCTCATGTACCCTGCGTGGGGGCACACACGAGTTCAGTCAGGGTGCACTGATCCCACTCAAGAAGGCCTGGACCCTGCTGAAGCCCCTAACGCACTCACTGTGCTGGTGGAGGGTTTCCAGGCCTCTGGGCCGTGAGCTTAGCTGACAGGTAAGTTAGGGACACTGTGGCATCTAACAAAAAGTGTGTCAATCATACTCCAGGGAGGAGCAGCAGATCTAGAGAAGCTTCAGAGGGGACCGACAGCTACACAGAAGACTGTGAAAGCAGCAGGCTTGGCCACAGCCACACCAATGGCTTCCAAGTCTTACCCTCTCTTTCCTACGGACTTCCTGCCCAGAGCCAACTCCAATTACTTAGGTCTATCTTGGCAAACGGCCATAAGAAATCCAGAGCCAGGGGAAGGTCAGGCCCGTCTGGAGTGATAACCCATGTTGACTGCCGGAAGCCTATAGTTAGTTGTCTAACAGTTCAATTTCTCCATCAGGCCGAGCTGGGGGTACAAAAAGGTGGGGGGACCTGACCCAGCATGGAGAAGTCTACCAAGATTCTTGCATCTGGAGAGACCAGGCAGCATGGGGGCATCCTTCCCAGTATCCCTGCTATCCAGGCCACACAGCACCTCCTGGGCACCCCTGCCTTCCACTCCTTGCCACAGGGGCATGTCCCCAGGAAGGGAGGTCAGGCCCTAGGCACTCTAAGCCAGTGGCTCTCAAGCTTCCACCCTTTAATACAGTTCCTTGTGTTGTGGTGACCCCCCCGACCATAAACTCATTTTGTGGCTACTTCATAAGTGTAATTCTGCTACTGTTGTAAATTGTAAATATCTGATATGCAGGATATCTGATATGAAATCCCTGCAGGGGTTGTGGCCCATAGGTTGAGGACAGCTGTTCTCACTCAGTGGGAGTCACAAGCCCTGGGGCTGTTCACCCAGAGGAGTATTGATCAGGTCTGGAATCTAGGCCAAGTGGCTCAGAGCGGGAGAGACAGGGGCTTCTCTGTGCTCCCCAGAGCTGCCGTACTCCCCAGAGCTTCCCCGCCCCCCCCAGAGCCGCCGTGCTCCCCAGAGTCCCAGTCGCCCCGCCCCCCAGAGCCGTCCCAGCCCCCAGAGCTGCAAATTCCCTGACCTGTGCACCAGCTGCATGTTCTCCTGCTTCAGCTTGCTCTTGAGGCCCCCACTCGTCAGGCTGTCCTTCTCCAGCTCTGTGACCTTTTTCTCCAGGAAGCTCACCTGCAGCACAGGAGTGGGACAGGGTACAATAGGCTTTCGAAGCCACAGAACTGAGAATCTAGAAAAGCCCACGACAAGGATCTCCAAATGACTATGCAGGAAAGAACACTCGTATTCTGAGAGGAAGGGGCATGTGGTGATTGATATCCCTCTTGCCCTGAACTAGATGGGCACAGGGTCCAAGTCCCCAGGGAGCAGCTCGGAGCAGGTTCCCCACACACCCCAGGAACATGCCCACCTTCTCCGTGATGTCATTGTCACAGGAGTCGATGCTGTCACGGAACAGGTCCTCAGTGCTGCCGTTGCTGCTGCTGAAGTTGCTGTTGTGCATGAGCTGCCTGTGGGGGGAAGGGCACCTGCCTGCCTGCCAAGTCTGCCACAGCCTGGGACCCCAACTCAGGCTACGGGCTAGGTGAGTTTTCAGTAGAGAGGCTGCCAGAAAAGAGGTCACAGGAGGAATACTCCATCTGACCTTCTCAACCCAAATGGCTGTCTACTCTAAGGATGGTGGACAGGGCACTCCCCAAGCCCAGGTCCTAAGAAGGGTAATACCAACAGCCATGGGCACCCTAGCAGGTCCATTAAAGCTGGCGTAGTGAGGATCTGAAGATGCTGACCCTACTAAGTGGGGACAGGTGGCAAGGGCAGGGAAAGGGCTGCTCTGCCTCTCTGCTGTCTCTTCCACCCAGCTGGGGATGTGGTCACTTGGCTACATGCAAGGCTCAGGCTGAATCTGGGCTGCTGCCATGGAACCCTGGCCCCAGGATAGCAGAAGCAAGTCAACGTGGTAAACACTCCACTCTGTCTCCCAGGAGGGTCTTACCGTCCAAAAGCTGTGCTTGAGATCTTCCTGTTGGGGCTAGAGAGAGAGAAGGGGGACACAGTCACTGAGCAGAGGGGTGCTGGTCTATTTCCACATGCTGCCCACTGCAAGACACTAAGGTATGATGGGCTGAAGGGACGTCATTCATCAGCTTGGTGCTGAGGTGCTGCAGGAAACACCTCAGGGGCAGCCCTGCAGGGACGCCATACCTGACCACACAGGGGGCTTGTGCCCCCAGTCCCACCTGGCCCTGCCCCTCTGGGCTTCGGCCTCACCTGTTGGCCTTCAGGTTTTTCAGCCGGGCCTCCAGGTCGTTCAGCAGGTTGATCTTCTTGCAGCACTGAGAACAGTAAACATCTAGCAGCTCACTGTTGTAGGTGTGCCGCATCTTCCTCGGGGTCTGTCCCGCACTGGACCAGAGCAGGGTTGGGGGAAGTCACTCTCTATGCTGCTGGCAGGCTGTGCCTTGCCCCACCTCACTGAGCTTGCTCAACCTAGTTCCCCAAGGCTTTTATTTCTACTTTGGGGCAGAGGATTGGAAATAAATCAAGAGCATCCTTTTCCCATGGTTACCAGAGATTGTGTGTGTGTGTGTGTGTGTGTGTGCATGTACCCAATTAGCAGATAGGGCATACTGAGAGTTAATGTCACTAGAAGGAATGACTCAGGCAAGCAAGAAGGAGCCACAAAAGGTCACTTGAAAGGGCCCTGTAACACTGAGGTTCTAGAAAGCAAGGTGACCTAGACACTCCTCACGGGAGTCTGCAGACTCCCAGACCAATTAACTGTTTCTTCAAAATAGAAGGGGAGATATCTGACCCCCCACCCCCAATCAGGATGTAAGAAGGCAGCACATGCCTGCCAGTAGAGCCATGTAGCCCTGGACAGAGGAAGGATGTTCTTTGACTGTCTGACCCACTGGGATGAGGCTAAACTGGTTCTGGCATTTTCCATGGACTCCAAATGCCACCCAGAGCAAGGGAGCACCTGGAAGATACTGAAGATCCTAGATCTGAGTAGACATTGGTTCTGGCCTCATCGTCGGGGCAAGGGCTGCTGGGAGCACAGTCCACGTCATCCCCCTCGCCATAGTCTTCAAATTGCTCCTCGTTGCTGATGAGAGAGGCGGTGGAGTGAGTGGAAAGGTCTGATGTGGTCATGGATGGAGTGAGGACCAGTGACCTAGGCCAGAAGCACCCAGTTAGTGGAGGGCTGAGGGCATGGCCTGCAGCTTCCCGGGGGCATGGGTGGGAACCAGCCTGGCATGACAGACAGCAGGAGCCTGGATTAGTCTACACACCTTTTGACTCTGGGGACCTCATCCTAAGGGGAATATCCCACATAGAAATTTCTCTGTAAGAGATATGTAAATTGTCCCATCCCCAAACAGCAAAACACTGGTTATTTCTTGATGGTTTAGCAACAGAGATTAAAATTACACTAATTACAGTTTACTGTATTAAAGTACATATCAGTAAAGCAATTATTAAATTATAGAGCACCAAATGATTGTTAAAAGACTCATACAAACATTGGTAACAAGGCAGAGAAATAAGTATCAATGACAAGTTAGATACAAGCCTTGAGACAGTAATTAATAAACTTATTTTGAGACAATGTCCTACTATGTTGGCAGTGATGATGCACGCCCTTAATCCTGGCACTCAGGAGGCAGAGGCAGGTATATCTTTATAAATTCAAGACCAACCTGTTTTGTATAGATTATTCCAAGCCAGCCAGGGTTACACAAGACCCTGTATTTAAAAAACCTAAAAGGGAAGGGGAGGGGAGGGGTGGGGAGGGAAGGAGGAGGGAGAGGGAAGAAGGGTGGGGAGGAGGGGAGGGGAAAGGGGAGAGGAAGGGGAGAAGAAGAAAAGGGAGGGCAGGGAAGGGGAGGGGAGGAGAGGGGAGGGGAGGGAAGAGAAAGGGAGGGGAGGGAAGACAAACAGTACCATGGTCATGGGACTTGGGTTAAAGGTTATTTTCTTTCATTTTCATTTTCCTCATCTTTTCCAATTTTTAATTATCCCTTAATTTTTCTATTATTATTATTATTGCGTGTGGGCACACGTGCATGCACACCCCTGCCACAGTCCACATTGGAGGCTGGAGGATAGCAGAGACTCTTGCTTTGTTGTTCCTGCTGCATCCACCAGGCCAGTTCGCCCTGGGAGTGCTGGGATTCACAGATGCCCCCTCCCCGGCTCCGTGAGTTCCAGAGCTCAGACTCGGGTCCTCTGGTAAGCACCTTGACCCACTGAGCTAGCTCCGTAGCCCTCTCTATCTTTTATCATGACAAGTAACACGGGTGAGAATCAGCCCCCAACTTACAAAGCGGCATTTCTAACTCTAAAGAATTATCTGTCAGAGACCCCAGACTCTAGGGTTTCACGGGCCACCCATGTGACACGAGGGCCTGGTTGGGGCTGCCTACAACCTGAGATCAAAGAGAGGCTCAGCTCATAGCCTGCCTGCATCCATCTTCCCAACAGTCACAGGAGATGCTCTGCTCACCCACAGATCATGACTCTCCAAGCCCAGAGCATCCACACTCATGACAGGAAACTTGTACTGGGGGAAGGGTGTGGGGAGGACAGATGGACAGCAGGTTAGGTCTCAAACTGTCCCTGGAGAACCCCAGCTTCTGTTTAAGGACCACAGATGGCACTGCCCACAGGGGCTAAGGATGGAGTCCCTTGGCACTCAGCCTGCGTTCTATTTACTCACACTTTGTCTCCCCTTATACTTACCCCCTTTCCCTTTATGTTAGTGAAACTTCACCATGGCTGGGAAGATGGCTCAGCAGTTAAGAGAATATACTACTCTTAGGGTTGGGGGATACCTGGGGAGGGGGCACCCTCTCAGAGGAGGAGAGGGAGTAGAGGAGGGATGCTAGGGGGTGGGGGTGATCCAGAGGTGGAGTAGCGTTCAGGATATAAAGAAATAAATTTACAAAAGAGTTACTGAGCTCAGGTCCCAGCACCCACAAATGCCCCTACAAACTCACAAACGCCCTCTTTGGTCCTCCACATACCATGCATGCACACGCACTCAGGCACACACAATTACAAGTAAATATAAATAAGTCTTAGACACTCCGCTGGAGAGACGTCGCAGGGGTTAAGAGCACACTGGCTGATCTTGCAGAGGACTCAGGTTCAGTTCCTAGCACCCATGTGGTGGCTCACAACCATCCATTACTCCAGTGCCAGAGGATCTGACACCCCCTTCTGCCATCTGTGAGCAACAGGTACACACGTGGTGCACACACACATACACATGCAGGCAAAACACTCATACATACAAAAATAAATCTAAAAATAAGTCAGACGTGGTGGCACAGGCACACACCTTTAATCCCAGCACTGGGGAGCCAGAGGCAGGTGGATCTCTGTGAGTTCAGGCTGGCCTAGTCTACAAAGCAAGCTCTAGGACCATCAGGAATACATATTGAGACCCTGTCTCTACCTCCTCTTCCCTGCCTAAGAGAACTGACTTCTGCACAGGATTAAAAGTCCAGGATTATCCCTGCTATCCAGACACCCGTGGAAGCACCACATGTGGTGCTGATCCTCACAAGATGTCACGTGTACTTTCTGGAGATGCCTTCCAAGAACTCTACTTCCAGCCCAGAGGCCACATGCCGATTCGGCTCACTCACTTGTCCTCTGGCAGGAACAGGCCCCCCAGCTCAGGCTCCTTCTCCTCGTCAGGACTCCTGACAGAGCCCTCTGGGCCCTGGCTGCTCTCCATGGGGCTGTCCATGTCTAACTCCTGGGGTCCTTCAGGTAGGGCCAATGTCATCGCTTCCTCCTCGTCTTCCCGGAAGAAGTCGGGTTCCCTGGGGAGGAGCTCGCCATCAGCAAAGGTAGAGCCAGAGAAGTCGCTGCCCTGGAAAGTCAGAAGGGCAGAGTGAGTGAGGCTGGTTCCCTGGGACTCAGTACTCACCAGTCTACATGGGCATCCGCATGAACCAGAGGTATGGCCAAGGTGAGATTCTAACTATGAAGTGCCTGGTAAACCACGAGGGCCTTTCAGAGCCACCCAAAGAAAAGGGCTACAGCCAGATCAACTACCTTGAGGACTGGGCAGCTTGGCTATGTGGGAGCCTTCATCACTGTTTGCACTGGAAGCCACATGCCTTCGTGAAGGCTTCTTGGCTGTAGTGAGGGTGGACTCACTCTAGTCAACTGTCAGGGACAACCCTGACCTCATGAGGGACCTGAGGCACGATGGTGCAGGGAAGTCTGCACAGCTAGGGTGCACCCTCCAAGAACCTGTACAGCCACAACACCTCAGTGCAAACGAAAGAAAATAGTAACAATAACTACTCTTGTCTATTTATCTTGCCTTAAGCCACGTTGCCAGCTGTTGTGTAACAGTTTATTCAAAATTGAAACACAGAAAGTAAACTCAAAACAGTTTCAGGAACTCCCTGAAACTGACCAGACTCTCTTGGCCCCTCCCTCCCAAAACAGATTGCTGAGAGTCACTCTCAGACATGCCAAGCTCAAACAGGTAGAGACCAGTCAAGCAGCATGAAAGAAACAGAGATAGTGGAACTGCCCAGAAAAGGCTTAGGCCAACAGAAGGAACCCAGAAAGAACACTCTCCAACCTACTGAGCTGCCTGGAGGCTGTGCGCTGTGCTCCAGGTTCCCAGATTTTGTGAGTAGTATCCTGGGGTGGACTTCGGTGTTGTTCCACTAATAACCCCAATAAAACTCACTGAGTCACTAGATGGACTTTACTGGTACCTGTAGCCATACTTCGGTCTGTTGTGGGCTATCTGGAGTAAGTGGCCAGGAAAAATCTATGACACACCACCAGCCAGGATCTCTCAGTCCTGGGCCTGAGATGCTCCACTGCCTTACATGATGCTGATGTGCAAGGAGGTGTGTCTGTACCTCCTGATGACGTTATCTTATAGAAGAGCTCAGGGTTGACTTATTTAACCTAATGTAAGGAGTAGTCAGTCTCAGCAAACGATCCCCCTGGGTACTTGGCTTTTGAGAGGGCAGGCACTCCCAGTGGCTCTGCTTCTAATCCAATGGTTTACTCTGTCTAGGACTAACAGAACTCCACTATACATGTTTCCCTCATCTTCCAGGGCTGCCAGGGAGCCAGAAGCCTCAGGAAAGTGTCTGAGAGGACACTTTTGGTTCCAGGACACCAGAAGAAGCCACCTGGAGATAGGCTGAGCCCTGAGGAAACCTGGGGGCTCGGAAGAGAATGTGATTCACAAACATGGTTCCTGCTTGTGCCAGGACTCAGCTGAACACAGATGGACCAATGAAATCAGCACTGGGCAATCCCAAAGGTAGAGATCAGGGGGTGAGCAATCAAAATCATCCTCATGTTCCAAGATTTGTAAGTCACTGAGCTTCGTACTCTCAGCTCACACAACACTCACCCGAAACAGGGGGACCAGTGCGACAGAGCAGCCACCGACTACCAAAGACTGATGATAGTTCACAAGTCCTACTTCTGTTTGGAGATCACTCTCCAGGACGGCTGTCTTTGTTCCCATTTTACTGATAGGGAAATAGGGACTCAATGAGTAACCTGCCAGAGTTCTCCGACTGGTAGGCTGGGCAGAGAGCCTGCCTGCTTCTGCCTGCCACACACTCAGTTCCCTTTGTCATGGCTACCCTCACATCTCACTAGTTTTCAGAGCTGGGTGTGATGAGTCACTCGCTAGAGACTAGATGCTGGTGATGATGCCCAGGTGCTCCCCCAAAGGCAACAGTCCACGTGCGCATGTCACCCCCACGGGAGAGGCTGCTTAGCACAAGAACACCCAGGGGGAAAGTGAGGAGGTGGCCCATCCCTCAAGGGAGCAGCTTGAGTTCTCTATCCCATCCCCTACCTGCAAATTGCACCTGACCAGACAGGCAGGCCAGGCTGGCCTGGGACGAGCTGCATCTGACCCCTCAGTCCCAGGACCACACCTCCTTTCACCTTCTGGATCACAGGCCTTCCCTGGGAGCCATGGCCCACAGCCCATGGCATACCAGTGCTCATCCAGTCCTTTACCCAGCATCCCACAGCAGTACAGTGACACTATGATCCACATAAGCTCCTAACAGGGTAGAAAAAGCGGCCTCAAGGCGACTATCTTAGTCACAGGAAGGACAGAAGAAAGGCTGAAAACACCCTTCCTATCCCAAGGCCAGACGACCTTCCTTCTGGGTGGACTTTTGAGCAGAGGACTCATCTGCCCTTCACCTCTGACCTCTGACCATCTCTCACGGCTGTCCCCTGAGAGTGCCAGAAGTGTACAGAGCACAGATGCCCACTCGTGTCTCACCTAATGCCTGAGAAAGATGAGGCTTAACGCAGGCAGGTGGCTGCCGAAACTGCCCAGCTGACACAGGGCCCTGAAGCCCGGCTCAGACAGCCCAGAGTGGAGTGCCATCCGCCCCCAGCTGCATTCGCAGGTGCATGCCCACATCAACATTTTCTTTTAAAATTAACCTCTCCCTTTATTAACACCTTTTCATTCAACCCCAAATTGTTTGCCTAAGGCAAGTGGAAATTTTAATTATAACTTCAAAATCAATTGCTACAGCTTCCCCCCAAATTAAAGCAGCACAAGGAAGGCAGTAAAAGAAATGAGCAGGATGGTACTGGCCCCACGCTGGTCCCAAAGCAGCCTTCCTCGCTCTGCTCCCTCCCGCTGGCCAGGCCTCTGCGGAAGGGTGAGGAAAGTGCTGGGTCAGCAGCTCCCACTCCACACACCTCAGAAAGGGAGGTAGTTCTTGGGGGTACAGAAGAAGCCTCTGACCCCCAACCTGTAGCCCTCCTAGCAGGTACGGAGAGATAGTCACACAAGAACCCCTTCTGAGATGGCAATCCTCCTTTATGATTCTTAAGCTGCAGGGGGAGGAGAGGCATTCCCTAGCAATAGAACCACCCTCACTGGGATTCAGGTGGACCAGAGACGTGGGCTTTCAGAAGCTCTTCTCCATGCCATCCCCAGCTATGCCCGCTCAGGCCAGGACCCCGAAGAGAACCTGTTTCCTGTGGCTCTGGGCATTGAAGGCCTTTTGGGACTGTGTAGGCGCTGAGAATGAACCTCCAGGGGATGCCATGCAAATTCTACTCAGGCTGATGTAAGACGCAGGCCTCTGTGCTGAACAAATGCAAGGCAGATTTCAGCAGCCCCCTCCCTCTCCCCCCTCCCCACCTCTGTTGGTCAGAGTCTCTCCCCAAAGTGCTATGTGTGGTGAGACAAGGGACAGCACTGTCACTACTCCACTTGATCACCATGCTGATCAGAGACCCAGAAAGCACAGGTGTACACCCTGCGTCTCCCGTGGCGCCCAGGACCTGTCCTGAGAGCTGGAGAGCAGGAAACTGGTATCCCAGGAGGTTGAGTTTCCACTGAGAAATATGAATGCTCAGAGCAGCTTCTGAGACTTAACTCTCAGAATTCTTCCTTCTTGTCCTGATCACCAATGTGTGTGTGTGTGTGTGTGTGTGTGTGTGTGTGTCCGTGCACACAGGGGGAAGGGGAGACATGACTACACAGGAGCATCCAGTCATCATGCAGTTGCCCTGGCATCTAGTCCAGGTCCACGCCTGGAGCTTATAGAGGCCTCCTCAGAGTCTACAGAAAGGCTACGTCTGGTCTTTAAGGACGCTTCGGGAGGGCAGTATCCTCAGTGGGTAGTACTGTGGCCCTATCTAGCTTCCCAGGGTTCTGTCCCTGAGGGTGCAGAGGCGACCCTACACAGAGTTCCTGTCCGTCTAGGCCACCATGGCTTACTTGTATCCAAACTCAGGGATACCTTCTTCCCCAACCTTGGGGTCCGAGGGGTGACAGAAGATAAAGTACATGCAATGTGTCCCTGTGCAGACCCAGCAGACCTGTGTGGCTGGGACCAGTGGAGGGCATAGCTCTGGAGCCTAGCAGTTAGTCCTGGTAGACCCAGCTGCTCACAAGTCCTGTGTTCCTGGACAAAAGTCTACCTCTATGAGCTTCTGGGATTTCCTCTAGAGAGCAGGGACTGTCATTTCTGCCGGAGAGGCTGCATGACAATTTCCGCAAGTATCAGCTGTGGGAGCCTGAAGTCAGGGCTGGCTGTGCTCAGGGCCTGGGTTGTCTGACCTGCCATAGGTCCTTGGCTGCTCAGCTAGCAAGATCCTCACAGATATATATGGTTGGGCCTGGGGACTAATCCAAGAACAGGGGTTACTGGAGACAGTACTGAGCCCAAGTCCGGGAAACAGGACTCAGCTACATCCCCAGTATCCCTACCTCTGCGTTTCCACTTTGTCCTCATCTAGGGGTGAACAGAATTGGCTCTAACTGGAAGTGGTTGCCAGAAGGCACACAGGCTGCTCAGGGAGCCCCTCTTCAGTCTCAAGAGCTGTGCTCACCCGTCAGAAGGCCCCACAGCCACCCCTTCCACTGTAGGAAACTGGAAAGGGCTGAACTCAAGGGTTGCTGAAAAGACCCAGTATCAGTACACGTGCTGGGCCTGCCAAGCCTCAGGATACTCACAATGGCCCACTGTCCCTGCTGGGCAGGCAGGAGGTGCAGCCAGACCCAAACCAAACAGCTTCATTTGGTGTTTACGCGAATCCATCTCAGGGGGAGGGGGAATCTAGGGGGAGGGGGAATATCAGGGTCACACACCCTAGGTTTCCTGGCAGTGAAACACAGATGAACAGAGAACACAGACATACAGAATGACTACATATTTCTGTTCCCTACAAGAGCAAGGAGAGTGAAGTTGTGGCCACAGGGAGGTCTACGTCCTGAGCCTCAGCAGCCAGTACTACAGGAGCACACGACTGAGCACTGCCTGAATCAAACTGCACTGCGCCACAGACCCCGATGACCATCCAAAGAGCATCGAAGGCAGCGCTTCTCAGCCTTCCTGA